CACGTGAAAGGGGAGATTTTCTCAAACCCTTTGTGTTTGCTTGGTCTGTCAATGCCCTGGGAAAGCCAAGACCCCTGTGCCTGACCAGCCTGTCAGTGTCCCATTACAGGGACCCTTCATGGACAGTCTTGATCAGAGGGTGGAACGGAGACACCGTGGCCAGGCTCTGCTGAAATCCTTGCAAGAGGGGGAACTTGGTGGCAGGTGATCAACTGCAGAACAGTTGTCAAACAAGGGAGAAGAACGATTTCTTACTGTATTTCTTGTACCAGCAACTGGGGCAAGATCACAAATGCACACCTCTGTCCCTAAGGTGACCTCAGATGTAATACTGACATTACCCACCTCCAAGGTATGACTACCTCCCTCTGGCCGTGATGTATGACTAGTCACCCAAGTTCCACCTAAATGCAGAAATAGTATAAAAGTAAGCTAAAAATAGGGAAAAGCTAGGGAAGACTCTATTGTAACAGGGTGGGACCTGTCTTCTCTCCCATAGGGATGTCTATCGGGTAAGGTCCTTATTGTGCCACTGAACGATTAACTCAAGCCAGCTTTTGTTAGGAATTAGAGTTTGTTGGTACGTTACTTTTTCTTTGCAGCCAGATGCTACCACCAGCAATCCACAAACCTTAACCTGTCACAATTTTCTATTATATTAACAGTGTTATTCCAGAAACTGTTAAGTGTGAGTCCTTCAAGGGCACTAACAGTTGCTGGCAGCAAGTACCATACTTGACTGAAGAGACCTGGGAGGGGGTCTGTCTCACGCTGTTGGCGTATGACCTGGAACAGGTCTGTCGAACCACCCTCTGATCCAGACTGTCCAGTCAAGGGTCCCCGTAACGGGACACTCACAGACTGCTTGGGCACAAGGGTCTCAGCTGTCCTGGGGCACTGACAGGTCAATCAAACACAAAGGGTGTGAGAAAATCTCCCATTTCACATGACAGGAGGTAAATGATAAAAAGTCAAGACAGATATGCAGGTCTAAAATAATTAAGAAAAAGAACCCTAAGGAGGCAAGGAAGGATAGTATGTTCTGTGAGTGAACAGCCTAAAAGAAAAAAAAACCCACAAGGATCCAAGAAAGATAATATCTGAGCACTGAATGTAACATATACATTACCCTGTTCATTCAATAGAAGGAGACTGTGCTATCTGTAAATGAGTTTGCAAGTTGCCCTCAAAACCAAGTCAAAAGCCTGGCAATGTCAGAACAGGGCAACAAATGAAGTTCTGCTTCTTCTTTTATTAATCTCTATGACAAAGCAGAATGACATAATTCCCTTAAACTTGAGCATTATTTCTGCAGAAAATATTTCCAAATTGCCTGTGAGTTGAAAATATATTTCTCTCCCTCTCCGTATATGTAACTAACTAGATGGCTAGATATATGTATATATAAACTTCAAGACAAATAACATATAAATGGGAAGTGAACATGAAAACTAATACGGTACTTTCAGTTCCAGGTTCTTATCATGTTAAGTAAAGATGATGCTGCAAGGTAATGAAGACAATGACCCATCCACTGGGAATATTTCAAGCCTCTGATCAGTCCAAGAATATTTACCACTTAAAAGAGTATGACATAGGAGCTGTTAACGTCAAATAGAATTCAGAACACGTTTCATGTCCTATATTCCACTGGACTGAAATAACTTGTTCGTGTGCCCATATACTTACTAAGTATCTTCTGAAAAACTACAAAGACCTCTACTCACCTCGTTTTCTGTTAGCTGATCTGGAAGTTCTTTCATTTCTGCTTCAACATTGTCTTTATTATCAGACAGAGAATCGAGAATATTATCAGGACTATAATCTTCTCCGCAGTCCACAGCACTGCCGTTATCTATTTCAGCTTCATCTAATACACTAATATCCATCATGTCAATATCCTGCAAGGTATCCAGACTTGCTTCAATATCCTCCTACAGAAAGAAAAAGGGTAAATGTGTATTTATTGTGGGCTAAATGATGCATATTCTTAGTAACTGCAATCATGATTTCAACTTACCTGCCCATCTCTAGAGTTTTCTTCTAGACCATTGTCTTCAATACCTTCTTCTTCTGGTTTTCTTCCTAAAAACAGTATCGCTGCAGTGAGACGTAGCAATAAATTTCGTAACGTGTTTAATCAGTGGTGAATTATCTAACACGGAGTTTGTTTCAACAAGAAATCATTAAGACACTGATTCAGAAATCTGGGTCTGTCTGGAAACAACCAAGGTCAACTTGCCACTCAAAACATGAGCATGAACTATAAGTAGCATGGTTACATTTCTCTATAGCTGCAGTCTCATTCCACTTCAATACCTAAAAACACAACACTGCCTAGGAAGGTGTTCCATTTAAAAATAACACTTGAAGATCGTTAGGGAGAAAAACTTCTCTTAATTAAACTGATTTAGAATTAGTGTTCACTTTTAAGATTCTAGATGCACACATCACTTTCACCAGCAAACTCATAGTGCTATTCAGACAACTGCTCTTTCTCTATTTTTAGGCCCTTTATCTTGAAAGAAGCATCTTTAACAGCCCGTTTCTCTCCAGAACATATTTTTAAAGAACTGGTTGTGAGCAATTAAAATAAGCCATGTGTAACACGGTACACACAATGTTTGGAAGCAAAGCATATTTAAAACACTGAGCTTTCCACAGGAGCTTATGCTGCAGCTGCTTGCTCTGTACCTGACCCAATTCTACACTCATGGTCGCAAGTACAGAAACATCTGCAATTTACAGTTTCATCTACAGGTTTCAAGACTTGCCAACAAAGTACAGTTGAGGCGTCATATTATCATTTAAACTTCTTATTGCTCACTAATGCAACAAAGTTTTACTGTTTTCCATAACGTAAAAAGCACTTTTTTTGAAAATTAATGAAACAGAACATATCAACTTTGTATGCTAGGTTCTAGCTACATGCAAACAATGGAAATATAAGTGTCCAGACACCATACCTTTGCTAGTTCTTTTTGGAATTCTCTTGTTGGTCAGTTCTGAGGCCACAGGAATTTCATCAGGATCTCCTCCTTCATCCTCAATGGCCTATTGGAGACAGCAGTATGACATCTACTGTATTCTTCGCTGGTGTGCATTTGTACTGGCTTTGGATGAGAAAGTTAATTCTCTTCACAGCAGCTGGTATGAGACTATATTTTGAATTTGTGCTGAGAATAGTGCTGATAAAACGGGGACAGATGTTCTAGTTATTACTGAGCAATGGTTACCCAGTGTCAAGACCTTCTCTGCTTCTCCTGCTGCCCCACCAGCGAAGGGCTGGGGGTACACAAGGAATTGGGAAGGGTCACAGGTAGACAGCCGACTCCAGCTGCCCAAAGGGATATTCCAGACCATATGATATTGTGCTCAGCAATAAAACTGGTGTGGGTGAAAAGCTCCCTAATTAGCAAATAAGTACTTTAACTGTATAAAACTGACAGCGACTGCTACAGGAACTCAGGCACATCTGACAGCAATCTTTTCTTAATGTTCAGGCCTGTTAGAACCCACCAAAGGGTCAGGACCAACTATATTGTTCTGGCCTCGTGAAAGTCTATAAAAATACATTCCAGACAGGCAGAAGATACTGAGCCAGGTGAAGTGTGGTGGTGCCAAGCAATAGGACAAGAAACAATGGGCAGAAACTAATGCACACAAAGTTCCACCTGAGTACGAGGAAAAAATTCTTTCCTGTGCAAGGACTGAACACTGGAACATTCCTAGAGAGGATGTGGAATCTCTTTCACTGGAGATATGCAAGAACCCTCAGGACGCAATCGTGTGCCATGTGCTCTGGGATGGCCCTGCTGAAGCAGGGAGGATGGACCAGACAACCCACCGTGATCCCTTCCAACCTGACCCATTCTGCGAAGTGTGTAGAGAAGCATGAGAAAAGACAGGGGGAAGAATCGCGTATGTGTGTGACCACGTAAATGAGAGAGAAAACCGGGGAAGGTCGCGCGAACCTCAGAGTCAAGGAACGACGGGAAGGCCGGGTCCATCTCGGATTCCGCCAAGTGGAATCTAAGCAGTGCTCCAATGGAGCGGCTGGGGCGCGGGCAAAGCGGCCCACACGATAAAGCAGTGTCACGAAGCAAAGCAGCGGCGGGGCTGCTGCCCTTCCCCGCAAGGGCACGGGCTCCGTAGCGGTGCGAGGAAGTAGACGCACTGGTGCCAAACGACCCCTCTGCGGCTGCCCGGGGCCGGCCCTGGGGCGCAGTGCAGGCAGAGGCCGCAGCCCCGCTCCCCTCAGGGCCGCCGGCGACCACGGCTTCGGCCCCGAGCGCGCACGCGCCAAGCGCGCCGGGGACAAAGGACCCGGATGGCATCTCCCGCCTGCTTCCCCCCTCCCCCTCTTCCGCAGCCTCCCCGCTCACCTTCCTCAGTCGCTCCATGAGAACGCTCTTGTTGCCGCCGCTGTCCAGGTTACGGCGCTTGAGCTCGGCCCGCAGGTCGATGACTCGCAACTCGCTCAGCCGCCGCGTTTCGGGTTCCGAGCCGAAAGCCGCGGCCCCGCCAAGGGATGTGAAATCCCCCAGTCCGGCCGCTGATTGACTCTCCGCCATCAAGGCCCCTTCGATGTTTCGCCTCGAGTCCGAGCGCGCAGGAGAACAAGCCAACCCCGCGACAAACCTTGCGTTTACAGCACAAAATGGTGCGAGCGAGACGCGCCGAGGGGTGGGGGCACAAACCGCGCAGTGCGCAGGCGCTGGGAGGAGGGAGGGGGCGGGGCCTGGAGGGAGAATTGAGTGAAGGCTCCCACGCAGACGCAAAACGGCGACGTCCGCGTCAAGGACAGCTCGCGAGCTCTCGCACACGCGCCCACGGGGTCAGGGCGGTCTCGCCGCGGCATTCCCGCGGTGACGTATCGAAGCTTCAGCGCGCACGCGCCGTCATCACGGCCCTGGAGCGGAAGGAGCCGTAGAGCGCATGCGTCAGGGAGCGGGTAGGCTGCGCGCGCGCAGCGGCTCCTCCCGTTTCCGCCCCTTTCGCTCGGTTTCCTCCCCCGCGCCTCGGTTTTCCACCATTTTGTGCTGCGGCTTTTCCGCGTTGTTTTTATCCCGCCTCGCCCTGCGAGCGCGACTCGAAACGACGGCCTATGGCGGAGAGTCAATCAGCGGCCGGGCAGGGAGAGTCTGCGTCCCTGTGTGGCCCCGGGTTTCCCGGTTCGGAGTCCGAAAACCGGCGACGGCCGCTGAGCGAGCTGCGCGTGATAGACCTGCGGGCCGAGCTCAAGCACCGCAATTTGGACAGCGGCGGCAACAAGAGCGTCCTCATGGAGCGGCTCAGGAGGGTGAGCGGGGAGGCGCGCGGCTGAGGGGCGGGTGTACCCGGCGTGACCCGGGTCTGGCGGGCTCTGCCGAGGAAAATGGCGCCAAGGGGCCGAAGAGCGGCGGGGCCGGGGCTGCACCGGGAGCGGGAGTTCCGCGAAACCCGTTGCGACCGCTCCGTGCTTGACGGGGGAGACCCCGCGCTTAGACATCCTCGGAGCGAGCCCTTCTGTCACACAGTGGCGGTGGGTGTTTGTGTGCGAGCCGGGCGCTTTTATCTACGCGGCGAATCCGCTCCTGATATCCTAGACCTGTACAGCTCAGCGGGTCTGCTGTGCCACTCGGCCCAAGTGTTTTTAGCATGAGTTTTCCACCTTTCACTCAGTTCTTGCATTTATACTTCTGTGCACTGTCTACTAGGCTTTTTGTGTGATATTTCGTTCTAATATTTTTGTGGCTTTCTAGTTAGTAGCCTGTACAGTATATCAGAATGTTTGGTATGTTAGCAGAATGCGGAACACTTTCACTGAACTGATGCTTACCGTCTCCTAGAGGCGAGGTGTCACTGTTGCAAATGCTGTGTGATTGACTTCTGGCTGCTTTCCAGAAACTTTGTACCTACGTGCTACTGTTTCCTCCGTACTTGTTGCTTTGATCTGGTGGTTCCAGATCAGTGTTCCAGATTTGTGCATCCAAGTTGCTGGTTCAAAGCACCAGATTCTTGTTTTGAAATTTTTCAGCCTCTGATGTCCAGCTCCGAAACTCAGCAAAAATGCACAAATGAAATTTGTTATGTCTGTCTTAATATCTACCTTTGTCTACTCCTTCTACTAGGCTATTGAGGAGGAAGGAGGGAATCCTGATGAAATTCCAGTGGTTTCAGAAAGCATCATGAAGAAAACTCCAAAAAGAAGCAGCAAAGGTAAAGGGCAGTCAGAATCTCCACCCCATCTTCCTTGAGTTTTCAAGCAACTGTACTCATGAAATGGAACCTTGCTAATCCTTTCTTTGTTTTTCTTTTTGCTTGATTTTATTTTGGGCACTGTTGCTAAATGTTCCGCAGTCCCAAAGCTGTAGCTGATGTTACTTGCCTGAGGCAGATTTGTGCAAAAATGGTTCTCTGGAAGAAATGAAGCAGAACTGAATGTTCTGTTCCTTGGTTCTGACCTTTAATCCCATATTATTGGTACTTTTCTTTACACTTGTGCTCAGGTTTCTAGGGATGGGTGTTACAGTTAGCGGTCACTTATTCACAGAATAGAATGTAATTTAATAAGGCAGGAAATTATACTTGAAGGATCTGTTGGTTTGTTCTCAGTGTCCCCTGAAATTTGTAGCAGGAATTACTAAGTAACACTAAAGCAGTGTCTCTTTTTTTGTATTAGAGCTGAGCAGAATAACTAGGTTAGATTAAGTATTTTCATTTCTAATTTCGATTTACAAAAAAAGTAAATTTATGAGATGAGACTCAAATGTGTGCCCAACTAATTTGTTGGATCCACGTTTTTGTTGTTACATTCCATTTGGATTGATAGTGTGCCATTGCTTGCAGACTAAAATGTGTTAAATGGTTAGAGAGTAAATGTCACAGCTGTGGGTAAAAGCAGAGATTTTTGGTAATCACGTTCATTTTCAAGTCTCAGAAAAATACCCAACATGTGTTACAGCACTTTTAGTGTTGGGATGGAAATAAATGAAATGTTTCTTTAGGCTCTCAAGTCCCTTTCACCTTTTAAACGTAGTCCACTTGTAGTTTTTGAGGAAAATAAAATTAATAAAAAATGAAACAACTACTTAGCTCTGAGTTTGAGGAGTTACCATTTCATGCCGAAGCTGGCACACTGTTTTCAGTTGTGGCAGTTTTGATGTGGCAAGTCCAGCCGGTGCACAGAGCAGTGCAGTAACACTCACAGGGAGAGGGATTTTTTTCATTGGTTTGTGTTGTGCTTTTTGTTAGGTTGCCTTTTCTTTTTTCTTCTAGTAAGTGTCTGTAAAAAAATGAAAGTTGAGATAATGAATTGCTGCAATCTCAGCTGAGCCAAATGTTCTGGGGAGTGCACAGTGATGCTTCTTGAATTCTTACCAGACGCTGGGCTGTAGCGTGTGTGTGTCAGTTACTGAACTGGAACTGATATGAATGCTCGGTTGTGGGAAATAAGGCTAAAGCAGATAACTAAATTGAATGGAATCCCAACTCTGATGAAAAAGTAAGAGTTAAAGAGTACATATATATATATATATATTTACTCTCTTTTCATTCTAATGATCATAATGTTGTTAGGACGTAGACCAGAGGAAGAGGGAGTAGAAGACAATGGCCTGGAAGAGGACTCGGGAGATGGACAGGTATGTGATGCTGGGTTTGAAGCAAAGTAATGACAGCATTGCTTTTAAGTTGCAATGACTATTACATGTACTTTTTTTCTTTTTACAGGACGATATTGAAGCAAGTTTGGATAACTTGCAGGATATTGACATGATGGATATTAGTGTGTTAGATGAAGCTGAAATAGATAATGGCAATGTGGTAGATTGCGGAGAGGATTACAGTGCTCATAATATTCTTGACTCGCTGTCTGATAGTAAAGAAAATGCTGATGCAGAAGTGAAAGAATTTCCAGATCAGCCTGCACAGTATGCTGTAGGTAACTTGGAGGCATCCCCACAATTTTCAGAAATTAAAGAAGAATCAAGAGAAATACCAATAGTGATGGTATGCATCTCTTATGTGTGTGGAATCAGATTTTTTTTTTAAAATTTATTTATTTATGAATTAAATAGCAAAATGGTAGCTAAAGAATACTTGGAATGATTTGGGACTCTACTGGTTCTTATGGCCATTGCATTTTCTTTTACATACTTACGCAAATACGATTCTTTATTTTAAAATACTTAGATGTTGTTTGTACAAACGTGAATGTATGAAGTAATAGTGGTCCAGAAAGCATTTGTATTTAATCACGCTTTGAACTCTGCTTTACCTTATGTTTACATTCCCATTTTCACATCTTTATTTTAGAGAACGTGTGAGGCATACAAATGCTGTAGCTTATTTTGTTCTCTTCAGTTGAACAGCAACATTCAGGGAACTATATTCTATGTTATTTTTCTGTTAAGGTTGGGTCTTGAAGTTTCTCAGTTATTGAAAGTATGTTGGCTTTCCATGTTTGTCTGGAATCAAGTGTGAATCTCCTGAAGTGTATAACACAGCATTTTAAGAAAGTTATTTCTGCCCCATCTAAGAGGGAGAATAGCTCTTTGTTGTGTGTGCACGTTGTGTCATAAGTCTGGACTACAAGATTCTAAAGTTGTGTGGTTCCCCTGTCCTGATCTGAAAGTTGCGGAGATAAGCTTGAGCCCCTATCCCCAAGCATATCCTTGTCCTACATGAGTCAAATTGAAATACTGGGAAACTAGGTTTTCACAGTGACTAAATTGCTTGAGGCCTGGCCACCTCCCATGGTCTGCTATTTACCACAGAAAAAGGAAATAGTTGTCAAGTCACATAGGCTCTTTGGCTCTGTGTTGCTGTAAATAACAGAGATACAAGTCAGAGAAAGTTTTCTGTTGGAATCCCCATACTTAAAAGATCTGTGTGAGCTGACCAACATAGTTAAGAGGTAATGATAAAGCTTATCCAGTCAGTGGAGATCAGGAAGATTCATGACGGTCATTGCTCAGTTTTTACCTTTATTGGTTGTTTTATGTGCTAGATATATTTGCTTAATACTAGTTGTCAGTGAAAACAAAATCTTCGGTTTCTCATTCAGGTTTCACTCACAATATTCTTTTATAGATAACAAAATGTCTTCCTTTTTTTTGTTTTTTTTTAAAGGTAGAGTTTGAAGATGTTGGAAACAGTTTAGATGCTCCTTCATCAAATTTAACCGTAATAAAGGTAAGTGGTAGCCAGTTTTTCTTTACCAAAAAAAACCCCATAAGATATACCATATAAAACTATATGTCGAAACAGTGTATGTACACAGTGGGTGCATTCTTATTCTGCAAAGAATAGGAACTAATGCCATTCTAATTTACTCATGTGCACAAGGATCTATATATCTCTTAGGATGTATTTATGTATATGTGATGTATGTAGCATACTGAGTTTGGTGGTAGATTTGATTCCTTTTATCTGATGTATATACCAACTCAGTGCTTTACGTTAGGTTTGACTTCCTTTAAAAGTGGAGGTATCCCATGTTGTCAAGAAAGCTGATATTGTCTATTCCTGAAATCCTGACCTTGTTTCCAGATCACTCGTGGTAGGTTAAGGACACGAGTAGATTAAGGACATTGGCTCCAGGTGAACCTGGTGTTTCTATTGATCTTGTTTTCAGAAAGGAGACTTCACAAAGTATGTTGTAGAGAAGGGTAACATGAAGATAAGCTTTCCTCTGTGCTGCTTATGTTTGTTGACTTATTTACTGATGTGAATGTGCACCATGAGTTCAACAGGGGTCTGAATTTGAGAAACACTAAAGTTTTTACACACTTCCTAAAACTTTGAGGATATTAAAAACTCACGTTAAACCTTCTGAGAAATTTATTTACAGTTCAACATTTTCAAAGCTGAAATAGGTTAAATTATACTAACGCTTCCCTTAAGTTCTGCTGTGTATTGGGTGGTTGAAAGTTGTCATTCAGAAAAACGGCTTGACTTCTTATGAAATAGTGATATTTCTCCTTTTTAAAATCTTTTTCACTGTAGGAACTTGAAGAGTTACCTTTGGAGCCAGGTACTGTTTGGGGTTTTCTGTTTGGTTGGTATTTTTTGTTTTTCTTGGTATTTTTTAATGAGAAAAGAGTTTTGGGCATTTAAACAGTTTCATTCTTCATTTAGGCTTTTTGCGTCCCTATTTTTTTTTTTTTTAATGTATTACTGTAGTGTTCATTTTTATGGTGGACAATCCAGGTCAATGCAGGGTCATAGAGATTGGAAACCTAGTAATATCACCAGATCTGTGAATAACCACCTTTTGAAAACGTGTTTAATGCGATGGAATGATTCCATAGAACTGTTACTACAGAGTGGAGTTAAGGAGCGAGCCTTAAAGATGTAAAGGTTCTGAAAACAGATCTTGTGATATCACACTGTACAGCAGTTCTATAAACATAATACAGGAGTGCAGGCAGTACAGAACTCTGGTACAGAACACACATTAAAAAGTAACGGGACTTAAGAAGAAGGAATACACTGTCATCACAGGAATTTACTACAGATCCTATTCGCTTTCTGGACTGCAAACATACTCGTGCACCATCAGAAGATGCCCAGTTCTCATGTTGGACTGTCTGCTAAAAGAATTTCACAGAAATTTGAAAATTGAACTCTCAGTGCCTTGATACGTTCAGTTAAGCATCTGGGACTCTGGAAGCTAACTCAAGAAGAAATAAGAGCTGAAGGATTTCATGAAGAATGTGGAGGATGAACCAGAAGTTTTTTGTTAAATCTGTGGGGGCATTTTTCTTCCCTGTTATCGTTTGAGGGCTGATTTGGTAGTTTGCCAGAAAGCAGTTAGCGTAGTACTTTTAACACTGTGTACACTAGGGTTTTCCAATCTCTGTGTAGCTTAGAAGTTCTCTTGGTGTTAGTGTGGCAGCCATGCCAGTTCCACATTTGTGATTGCTGTATTTCCCTGGTGATTAAATCTTGTGCCATTCTATTCCTGTTAAATCCGTAGAAAATGAGAAAATACTCGACATTTTGGGGGAAACTTGTAAATCTGAAGTACTTAACGAAGAAACTTCCGAAGTGGAGCGGCCACATGCACAGGAAGCAAGTATCGTGGTGCCAGGCAAGAGGCTGGCGGAGGAAGAGGACGCTCTTGCTGCCGCTCAGTTGGAGGAAGATGCTTTAGATTTGGACAGCAAATCGGCACAAGCTATGGCAAGGAAGGAAGCAAAGCGTTTAGTTGTAGCAAAAGGGGAGACATGTGAACAGACACTAGAGGAAGAGAAGCCGGACTCTGAATCTTTAGTAGTAGAAACCCTAAGCGATCAGAGTAGCAAACGCTCCCAAGGCCTGGAAGCCTCTAGTGGGGAAACAGCGGCAAAAGGCGCAGGTCCCGAAGCCAAAGATAGCAAAGAAGATGCCAAGAGAACAGAAGACAAAGCTAATTCTGAGGAATCCCCTGCTACTAAAGAGTCCTCAGCCAGTGAGGGCGGTGATCAGAAAAAGAGGTTTGTTTTTTCTCCGTTATAGACCAGATACTATCTTTTATCATTGGTCGTTAAGTGATGCGAATAAGCTGTTTCCTTCAATTGGCCACCGAGACTGATGAAATTGTAGCCTGTTCCTAAAGAGTGTGTTTTATTTCTTCATGTGCAGATATTTTTAATTTTTTTTTTAAACACAGTGGGTTTGATTTCTTTCCTGCCTCAACCTTCAAAGGTTGTTCTCCCAAATTACTCTTATTTCTGTCATATGCAAAATAGAATTGTCTGTTTACGGGTACAAATCCCTAATTCCTGTCATCCTTCTATAAATTTGTATATATAGTGTTTAGTTTGGAACTAATTTACTGGTAGGTATCCAATTTTAGTAAACTGTTTAGAATTAATGTTCTTTTAGCATTCAGTTGATTGAATAATGTGGTGTTTTGTCTCTAGCCCTGTTGAGGAGAACAGAGATAGAAAGATAATCTCAAAGGATGAGAAAGGTATGTACGTAGGTTTTTTGTGGTGTGTGATTTTTTTTTTTTTTTTTTTTTAAATATACAAGGGACCAGAAAAAAATGTTATGGGGTCAAATCTAACCGTTACTTGTGAGTTAACTCTGCTTCTTTTTGTGTCTTGTTCATTCTTTAACCATGTGCTTGTCTTCATTGTAATAGTTAAGTTGGAGTTCCACTAGCTTCATGAATGGTATTAGGTACCAGAAAGACCAGGATTTGTCTGAAAAATCTTAACAGATTACTGAATCTCTAGGTTTATACTCTGTGTGGTAATTCTGGTGGGGACTGTTAATTCAGTGAATCTTCAATGCACTTATCACACAGGCCTTCAAAGTTTAGCTTAAAAATTTCAGTTCATGTAACTTCTGTAACCTTACTGACCAAAAAATTTCAGGGTTTTGTTGGTTTTTTTGTTTGTTTTATAAGGAGCCTCTTGTGAATCAACATTTGTTACTTTGTAATTCTCCTAGAAGTGATTGAAGTACAGGAAGAAAACATGTATCTGAAAACACATTAAGACTGTTCAAATGTACAGTAAGCCCAGAGTTCAGAAGTTAATTTTTGCAGGCTCCGGTGTATTGATTTTAAGAATGAATGTAAGAGGTATCAGTGAAATGCATTTGAAAAGTTTTATGAGGAAAAGAAGTTGATTTTGTAGGAGTCCTTTGCATTGTTGCATTTGTCTGCTACATGGTCTTTTATGTCTGGCTTTTTTGTACCTCAGGCCGTGTGGGTAGCGGTTCTGGCAGAAATTTGTGGGTTAGTGGACTTTCATCCTCTACTAGAGCTACAGATTTGAAGAATCTTTTCAGCAAGTATGGAAAGGTATGTAAATTAAGAGATCATTTTATCAATATAAGAAGCTGACCTTAAATTTAGATCTTACTTTCCCTGATGAATAACTGGGTAGCGAAGTACTTAACTTCCATGTGTTCTTTTGAAACTCTGTATCTGAAAGTGGCATACTTCATAAAGAAGGTTGTCTGAATAGGAGGGGTGGGGAGGAGAAATCCAGTTTGCAGAGAATATCTGTGCAGATACCTGCAAAAATGAGGCAGTTCTTAATAGGAGAGACTGGTAGATTGTCATGTAGCACGCTGTAATCTAATTATATGTCTTGAGAGCTGGTTTAAATTGTTCCATGTCAAGAAGTATTCCTTTGAGAAACCTAGTTTTTGAGGGCAGGTTTCCATTTGTTCTGCGGTACCCACTGGCATACAAGAGCTGCGATTGTGGAAGGGAACTCCTTGTGTGACTATCTACCCTTGTACCAAATACACTTCTGAATGTAGTATTAAATGTTTGTGTCACTATGTGCGTGCCTCTGGCTGTCATGAGGTTGTCATCTGTGGATTGAAGCTAGCACAGATGTGCCGAAAGAAAAGAGAAAATGGTAGTAATTTTGTTTTTTCAGTTTTGATTATTACACTCCCCACTTCCCATAATAATAATGGCCAGTCTTCGCGAGCGAAGATCCGGGGAAGGTCTTTCCACCTTCCAGCCTGCGCATTGGATTTTTTAGGTGAGACACAGTGTGCGCGGAACTGAGCCCACCCTTTAATCCTAAGGTTCATCTGCCGGGGCCAAGCGAGCTTGGACGGTGGCAGCGAGGTCCTCAGGACGTAGGTGGGTTGCCTTTAAGGGCTAACGAGCTCCACCTGCCCGGGAGTGGCCCTGACCGGGAATCGAACCCGGGTCTCTGCGGTGACAGTGCGGCGCCTTTACCACTAGACCACCAGGGGCTCCCCACTTTCCATATCTACATATATATTTCTATATAGATATGTTCCTTAAGTTATTGACCTACTCAGTGACTTGAAGATGAATTTTGTCAACCGATTATGACGGTGGTCTCTTTTTTCGGCAGAGCTGTAATCAACAATCTGTTCCATGATCGAATTTAGCTGTTTCATAGAATTTTGCGCTAATTTTGTACATTTTTGTGAACATGTGTAATAACGTTAAATTTGAGCCTTTTCTGCTGCGTTTTGTTTCTGTTGACATGGGCGTAACCATTGCTCACATCATCCTCTGTATAGTAGTCTTTAGTGAGGCACTTCCAGCACAGGGCTGGCCCAGCAATATAGAGGTCAAGTTAAAACAATGACCTTTCTTTTGCTGTCTGTCAGACAAGCTTAGTGATGTGTTCTTCTGAGAATGCTGATGGAATATTCTGTGCTAAGAATATTTCCTGCCTGTTACAAGTGGATAGGTGCTATACTGTGTAGTACTGGTAGACAGGTGCTGAAGAATGAGGGACAGAGTTCTAGTAGGGCCTGAAACAATATGACAGGGGGAAATGGTTTTGAACTAAAAAGGTAGATTCAGACTAGATATAAGGAAGAAATTTTTTATGATGAGGGTGGTGGAAACACTGGCATTGGAACTCTAGTTGCCCATAGTGGTGATAGATACCACATCCCTGGAAACATTCAGGACCAGGTTGGGTGGGGCCTTGAGCAACCTGCACTAGTTGATGTCCCTGCCCATAAGAGGGCATTGGACTAGGTAGCCTTTAAAGGTCGTTTCAAACCTAAACCATTCAATGCTTTCATGAAATGGTGATTAAATTAGAATTTTAGTGGCAGATCTGCAAACACAAGGTGTTTTTTTTTTATTTCCTCCACAAAGGTGGTGGGTGCAAAAGTAGTCACCAACGCTCGCAGTCCTGGTGCTCGCTGCTACGGCTTTGTAACAATGTCAACATCTGAGGAGGCCACTAAGTGTATTAATCATCTCCACAGAACAGAGCTGCATGGCAAAATGATTTCTGTGGAAAAGGTAAGTGGTAGTTATTTTGTGACAGTGTAAAGAAAATAGAAGAATGTAACTTTAATGTCTGTCTCTCACTATACAATTATTTCTGGCTAAATTTCTAGGCAAAAAATGAACCAGCTGGAAAAAAGCCTTCAGACAAAAAGGAAGGCGAAACAAGGAAGGAAAAAGACAGGCACCATTCTGCAGAGTCCAAATCTGAGAAGTAAAGTGCTGTTTTGTATTTTTATACATTTAAAGGCTACTCATTTGAAATACAGCCATGTAACCAAGATGAACAGTAACTGCTAATTCTTGATTTTCTCTTTCATGTTGCATCTGAAATAGGAGTAATACTTGAAATTGGTGTTCTACAGCAGCAAGGCCATCTTAATTGGCCCTCTGCTCAGAAATACAAAGCTCTTTAGGGTTAGTATCAAAACTGGTTATATTAGGAGATAGTAAATCAACTTGTTTCTAGATAAACCATTGTTTTTATCAGTCACTTGTCCTCTAATCTGACTCTGGCTTGGTCTCCTCTTTTAACTGACAAATATTTCTATGATTTAGTCTGTCTTCTTGATAGACTGTTGGTGTGGTTAGCAAGTGATACTTTAAATATTTGTTTTTGAAGTGGTTTGTTGCTTTTGAAAGAGGCATTTTTCCTTTTGTAGGTCATTTGGTATTAAGAAGGAGGAGAAGACTGACAAAAAAGATGATGCTAAGAAATCAGAAAAAGATGAAAAAGAAGGAAAAGAGAAAGAGGAACAAAAGACTGCATCTTCTGATAGATCTAGGGCAAACAAATCGGGTAATGCTAGCTGTCTTTCAGAAATGCTTTCAAAGACATTTAGAAAAAAATTGGTCTGAAGAATATGGTGGCTGTGACAAAACTTTTACTTTACATCCGAAAATATTTCCTTTTTATGCTTAGTAGGAAATGGAAGAACAAGTGTAAACATTCAGAATTGCAGCTAATTCGTAGACTTCAGCTTCTGTAAACCTCAGTGTTCTTATTAGATTTGATTGCTAGTTCAGTAAAAAGACCATAAAGCTTAGTAAGACTGAGGTTTTCTTAGTGTACAAAAACCAACATCAGAAAATACCTTGAAAACTTTGACTTAACTTTGCTGTAAGTTCCTGGCGTTCTTTCATAATTACTGGACTTTAACTACTCCTAACGTTAAACCGTGAGTTTTATGGAACTATCACTGGATTTAGACCTGACACAGTTTGTAGTTCTATGTGCCCCCTTTTTTTTTTTTTTCAGTCTGTGACAAAGGGACGTATTTTGCAGACAAGAGAATTAAATTAAATTTGCTTGCTTTGTCATCCCTGCCAGAAAATACTACTGTAATTTTGTGGTAGCTTTACCGCCCCTATCCTCAACTTGGCCAAATCTTGGTAAACTATTGAAATCATAAATAAGTTCCATAAGTAGTTGAAAACCTCAATAAAATAACTTTTTACTGTTTGGTGTCTTCACAGTTTAAAATCTTGCAAGAATTGTTGAATGTTTTGTGTATTATTTATTTTTGGATGTATTTGGTTTTCTAGCGAGTCGAGGAACCGAAAGGACAGTGGTAATGGATAAATCTAAAGGAGAGCCAGTTATTAGCGTGAAAACCTCTGCATCCAAAGAGAGGGTAAGTCCAACTTTCAGAGAAGCTTTTGTGTAAAAATAGGTGTCAAATAGCTTTATACACTTATAGTTGAAGGGGGTCTTGCCTTCATGTTGGTACATTTATGCTTTTATTACTCTCTGGAGAGCATTAAGATGTAAATGGTGTGGCAAAGGGTAAATGTTTCTGTTTCACCTTCTTTATAGTTTTTCACTGCTGTCCTAGTTGAAGAAGTAGAATTGCAATATGAAAATGTTGTTAGGATGTCTTTCCCCAAGTTTGAAATATAGTTTGTGGTGACCATAAAAGTATTGTATTATTTGCCATCAGTGCGAGTCAGGTCATGTGCTCCTACTATTTATATGTATTTAAATGCTTAAGAAGTTTTAGCCAAATTTGGCATACTTTTCCCTCACCTACTTTTTCCTGGCACTCCTGACATTGTTTGCCTCTTCTAAGGTACCATAGTCTGTTTTGTTCAGGTTGACATAAAGTAGGCATTTCCTAGACATTTTAGCAAAAAGTGCATTATGTTCAGCTAACATATTCGTTTGATTCAACTCAGAGTACAAAAAGCCAGGATCGCAAATCTGAGAGCAAAGAAAAGCAAGATATTTTATCGTTTGATAAAATCAAAGAACAGCGAGAACGTGAACGTCAGAGACAGAGGGAGCGAGAAATCAGGGAAACAGAAAGACGCCGGTGAGTCTTCCCAGTTTTGCTCTAAACTTTGAGTGGTACTTCTTTTTACCTCCCCTCCCTTACATGTTTTGTGTTTTGAACAGGCTTGCAAAGTAGTGTTGTCCTGACCCTCCAACAGGGGTATCTCAGATTCATTTGATATTAATCTCTTGGTAAAACAGACATAATACCAGACAATGAAGGGTTTTACTACCAAAATCAATGTTCTCAACCTGTGCATTTCAAGAGACTTTTGTAGGTTATGTGTTCCACTTAGTCAGATTTGTATTTCCATGGTTTTTTCCTGGAAGCTTGTAAATACTTTTTGTTTGTCAGACTTGTGTCTTGGGACATACTCTCTTTGAAAGCTTTTTCAGATCTGACTTAGAGTAGATATTGTTTCTTAGGCACTTTTCAAATGCTCACCTTTGTTTTTTCATGTGGACTTTTTTACTTTCCGGTAATCTAAACTGCTGTTATTTAACTGGGAAGAGATAATTTGAGTTTAAGCAGCTAATGGGAAGAACATAGAAACTAAAAACAAAAGGGCAAAAGCAAAGAAGAAACTCCACCCAAAACAAAGAAACAGTAAAGCTTAGGATTAAGATTCTCAGTTGAAACCAAAGTATCTCTTTTAAATTAGAGAGAGAGAGAGGCGAGATCGAGAGCAACGTCTTCAAGCTATTCATGAACGGGATGAAAGACAGAGGCTCCAGAGAGAGCGAGAACGACTGGAATTTCAAAGGCAGCGTCTTGACAGAGAGCGCTTGGAGAGAGAGAGGTTGGAGAGAGAAAGAATGCACATAGAGCAGGAAAGGAGACGAGAACAGGAGCGAATCCAGAGAGAGAGGGAAGAGCTGCGACGTCAGCAGGAGCAGCTACGTTACGAACAGGAAAGACGATCTGCCATGAGAAGGCCTTATGATCCTGATGGCAGGTAATGATAATGGCAGTGACATTCCAAACTCTTCAGAGTACTCTTGATAAAGCAATCATGGAAGCTTGAAACTGAAAGTCTATTTACATGTTGCTTTTAACACCTGGTCGAGCTTGTATACTTGTAAGCAGTGGTTTATTACAGGAGGTTTATTCTTATTTCTCAAAGAGGAGTGATCGAGAATAGTAACTATCAACTCTAAAGCAGGATTGCTAGTAGGAAGAGATACTCATTCTCTTCTCACATCAGCACAAGCTGAAATTAGCTTCGTGTATCATTTCAGTACATCTGGTTTTCTCTGAAACCAAAAGGTGATTCCTTCTTAATGCACGTAGGGTTTTAATTATAAATAAAAAGTAATAGTTTAGGTAATTGGATAGGTTTGATATCAAGAGAGCAGGAAAGGGAAGATTGTTTTGCGATTACTAATAATGGTGACCACTTTTGCAGGCGAGATGACCCGTACTGGCCAGAGGCGAAGCGAATGGCAATAGAGGATAGGTATCATTCTGAATTTAGTCGTCCAGACCGATTCCACGACTTTGACCACAGGGATCGTGGACGATACCAAGACCATTGTTTGGACAGGTTGGCAAGACAGTATCTTTTCTTCCTAAACCTGCATGGAAGTTTGGTGTCTTTTTGGGGCTCACCTAATGGCTTGAAGGGTGTCAGAAGAGTAAAACAGATGACCCTTGTGCATTTCTCATGTCTAATTTCGTATGTGCTTGCAGTCCTTTGTTTTCATGGGTTAGGGACATATCAGAGGCTGCGTAAAGATTGTAAACCAAGTCCTAATGTAGTCTGCCGTGATGCTAATGGAGATACTACAGCTTCTGTGTAATTACAGCACATGTGCAAGTCTGGTTTGTGAATCCCTGTTTGTTAACCTAAGACTTAGCCTTTTGCTTTAAAACTTTCTGTATTTTCATCTTTGCAGCTTGGTTAATGCAGATTTTTAGCTCCGCAGAACGGAAACATGTTTTCTGCGTAGTGCCATTGAGACTTCTGTTTTGCTCTCAAAGGATCTTTGGTGAAAACTATACTACTTTGTTTTTGCTTGTAACTCATTTCTGATACTGGTAGGTTCACTCAGTATTCTCAGTATGGTGTCACTGAGTACCTGACTATGCCCCTCAGTGATGCTTTGCTTACCCATGTTACACTGATAGATGCTACTTTCGTCTCTTTTTATGCTGTGAAACAAGAACTCCTTTGAGTATCTTGCCACTGAAGAAACGTTGGCTTCCAGATTTATGGCCTAATGAAGATGAATTTTCGTGCGCTATTTCATGCAGACATTGGAATTATGATTACTGTGTTGATTCAACTGAATTTGCCCTTTTTTTGTTCCAGAAGAGACTGTACAAGAGGAATACCAGATCGAGATGGGCAGGTGCGTTAGAACCAAATAACTGCTTCCGTGAAAAAACCAAACAAGCCGACCCCAAAGCAGAAAGAACACAGTGCTCATGCAACCTAGTTCTTAAACAGTCACCACTGGGTTTAAACTGAGCAGACGTTCAAGCAGCAACTAATTTTGTAGGCTAATGTGCGTAAAGTAAGTTACTATGTTATCTGCTTGCTAGGGTGGTAGCCACAGATACGGGCAGGGGGAAACCTCCGAGCGATGGGAGCTACGGTACAGCATCCTTTCAGGCTGGTATGTTGCAATAAAAGTTTTCTGGTTAACCATCTTAGGTGTTAAGAGATAGTTGCTGTAGTTTCTTAGCTGGTGAAGGATCCCTTCTGTCACATTTATCTGAATGGTTTGTAGGAAATAACTAGTGTCGTGATGAAACAAGGCAGATGACTCGGACAGGTATGAAAGCCAATACCACAAAGGTATTCAAAACCTTTCATTTCTGAAGAGAGGTGGGAAGGAGGCAGATAATCTATGTAAAAATTAACAATCTGGAGCCAGAATGTAAGCGTTAAAAAATGCTAACAAACAGAAAAGACTTCTCCCACCAGTGAGCAGAGCAGAATATGAACTGTGAAACAAAATAAATGGCTAGAGTGAACCCTGCAAAGTAGCAACAGTGGAACCAGTAAAAAAATGAGTCTGCTACCATTTTGTTTTCTGACAGCTGATAGAAAGGCAACGTCCAAGAGGCTGAATTTTCGCAATCGGAAAAGAAAATCTGTGTTTGTTCTTAGCATAACTGAGTACCATTTGCCTTTCAGCATTATCCAGATGAACGCCATGGAGGGCCTGATCGTCACTCCCGGGATAGTTGGGGTGGCTATGGGTCTGACAGAAGAATGAGTGAAGGGAGAGGGATACCCCCACAAACCCGGTTAGTGCTTGTGAAATAAGGAAAGGGATTGTAGTTAAAATTTTAGAGCTCAGTGAACCTTTGAAAGATGACAGCGGAAGCAGTTTGACAAGTGCGAATCCTTTCTCCAGGAAGTTTCTTTGAGCATCTGGAGGAGCAAGAAATTCATATGTGTAGCTCCCACATGCATCAGGAGAACGGAGCATTGTAGTGAATAAATGCTGCTCAGTTAGCTTGTAACTGTGGTTGTCTTGTAAATAACTTTCACGTCTACAGGTGAGATTCAGTCACATACCAGATGCTCCAGTAAGGCCTGAAAAAGTCTCATTTATGGCTAGTGGTCAGGTTTTAAGGAAGTTGAGTGAGTGTTTCTGCAACGGTGGGGGTGGAGGACTGACTCATGTAGAATCACAGTGGTTTCTCTTTAAACCCGTTAGTCGAGCTGGGCATATTCCAGAAGCATAATGTTCAGTTCTATCTCAATACACCAGACAGAGGAATGGCAGCCAATGAATTGTTCCATATGTAAGTTCTCAGTCCATTGTAATATCAGTGATGTCGCTGTAGATCAGAAAGACGAGTTTTGTTGTGTGAAGGATGCTGTTCAGCAAGTTTCTCGTTGTTTCACTTTCACTAGTTTTTATTGCAATGATTGGGTGGGTATAGCTACAGCTTGATTAACCGTTTAACGCACTTTTGTATGGGGTATGGTGTTTGGCTTTACCCTCTGCTGCTAAATGGATAGGGGACATACCTAGAAGATGTTCTTTTATTTTTTTAAGAGATGGACGTGACTGGGGAGATCATGGTCGAAAGTTAGAGGGGCACCAAGATCGTACATGGCAGGGAAATGTGGATGGAGGAATGATGGGACGGGATCATGAGAGATGGCAAGGTACACTTGCTGCTTACCAGTGTGATCGTGGTTTTTTCTGTGAATTACTGCTGCTGAACTTCTAGTGGTAGTTAAATTACGGAGAAAGCAAATAAAATTCTGGGAACAAGGTGACTTTTTAATTAGGAAAACACAAAAACCTGTGTTTTTTGTGGTTTTGTGTTTGTTTTCTTTTTTGTTGTTGTTTTTGTTTTTTTAAATTAGGTGGTGATAGAAGCATGCCTGGTCAGTCAGGACCAGGCCACGGGATGAATCGAGGAGGGATGTCGGGGTAAGAATTTCTGTCAGAGTGCTTATAATGTTTTTATGACAGTTGATTGATCTCTGTACAAGAAATTCCTGTGCCAATTGTGAAAAATACTTTCAGTTTCTGTGTAACTATGGATTGGCAAGGGGAAAAAAACCCCAAACTAAACAAACATCTTTTCTCAGTCACAATAGTATTAACTTTTCTGGGCAATGTTGAATTTGTCTGACCTTGTTTTTAGACGTGGAAGCTTCACACAAGTTGGAAACCAGAGCCAGATGATGCTGAGTACTGGAATCCAAGGTGCGTTTGCGGGCCAGGAACGGACAAACAGACTGACTGAACCCCGTTTTAGCCGCCGCTACTGAAAGCACTGTACATACACATGTTTGTTTTTTTTTTAATGCCAGATTACAGTGGTCAGGAATTTTATTAAGCAGGGTCACCTTGAATTTGTGATTATAAAAAAGCAAGACTGCTTCTGCATTGTAGCCAAATATGATGTCAAATTGGTTTGGTTTATTTTTTGTTTTGTTTGTAATAAACGTGATGTTTGTCAAACATCACCTCGATTTCTGTAAGTGAAGCATTCCATTTTTCAAAAATAATAAAATCGGTGTTTGGCTACTACTTTGTTGTTTCTAGAGTCTTTGGCAATATGCCTCTCATGAGGGAAGTAAAAGTCAGTAAGGAGACCATCTGCTTTTATCAGAGTTAGGGGTTAGGGTTAAGGGTGAGGGTTAGGGTGGTGAGGGGTTAGGGTTAGGGTTGGGCTTAGGGTTAGTTAGGGTATGGGTTAGGGCTAGGGTTGGGGTTAGGGGTTAAGGTTATTTTTAGTCTTTTTTCTGGGTTATTTTTAGGGTTTGGGTTAAGTTTATTTTTATTTGGGTTAGGGTTATTTTTAAGCTTTTTTTCCGAATTATTTTTCTGTTTAGGGAAAAGAAAGCTCCAGCACAAGGGTGGGTGAGAAAAGCCCATGGCCCTCAGGTGGGGCTTTGAATTCCTTGGAGAAATGGGTCTTGTCAAAGGGCTCAGGCCCTTTTGATTGCTAGAACAGTGAACTCCCCAACTATCACTCAGCCTTTTAAAACAGACACCAGGTCTACCCGCCTATAAGAGACCAGGTCTACCCTATCTACAGAGAAAGGAGGTCTACCCCCCTATATGAGACCAGGTCTACCCTCTCAAACAAGACACCAGGTCCACCCGCCAAAAAGAGACAAGATCTACCCTTTCAAAAAGACACCAGGTCTACCCTTTCAAAAGGCACCAGATCTACCAGCCATAAAAAAGGAGAACAAGTCTATCTGCTTAAAAATAGAGAACAGGTCTGCCTGTTAAAACAAGGAGAACAGGTCTACCTAGCTAAAAAACCAGAACAGATCTACCTGCCTAAAAAAAAAAAACAGGTCAACCCATTAAAAAAAAAAAAGAAAGTGTACCCACTTAAAAAACAAGAACAGGTCTACCCCTTAAGGTGAACAGGTCTGCCTGTCAAAAAAGGAGAACAGGTCTACCCCCTAAAAGAGTCCGTGAGGAGGGAGGAGGGTGCAAGGAGCAGCACAGGATCAGAGCCCATGGAGGCTGCAGCAGAGGAGGGTGTGCAGGAGCCAAAGGGCAGCTGAGGCCATTCCCCAGGGAATGCCAGATCCTGACGTCTCTGCCCACTTAGGGAAAAGTGCCAACATTGCCCAAGTGTTCCATGCCAAAGCAGAGTCCTCTCCAAAAAGCAGAAAGTAGGGAAAAGATGAAGGGAGCAATGGGCAGAAAAGGTGGTGATTTGGCAGGTGTGTTTTGAAATGCCTTTTGTCCAGGCTGGGAATTTGCTAGGTGTCGAGCAGCGATTGGTCTGGTTTTTCCCCCCAAAGTGTCCATTCCCTCCCCAAAAGATGTCCTTTTGGCCTGCAGAGGTGCATTACCAAGGAAAACCACAAGACGGAGACACTGAGCAAAAAGAGACCAGGTCTACCCATCAAAAGAAGGAGACCAGGTCTACCCGTAGAAAAAGGAGAACAGGTCTACCC